GAGGTTTTAAGCAGTCATTTACAAGAACTTGGGTGCGAGATTAGCCACATTACACAGTGATACTTATGAGCGACACCTTTGTCTGTGAGAGCTCATCTTGAAAATACAAATGGGATTCCAGTGCCCCCCCCACTCTTCTTCTCTCACTCTCTCCTCTACATCCCGTCATTGTGAGGCGAATTGAAAGGCTCTCTTCTCATTAGGGCTAGTGTTGAAGTGGGCAGTGTTACGCAACCCAGTTATCTACCCAGCAGCCCCAGCTTACAGCAGGACAAACCCCTCTTCTCAGAGCCTGTGCCTTCTCTGTGCTCCCTCACTGATCTCAGACCAGGTGTAGGGGCTTAGGCTGACATTGGATGAGGGAGCTGAATCTGTCCCCAGTCCAGCCTAATCAGAGGGCCCCAGGCTGAACGCAGACTTGGCCCCCGGCCTCACATCTTGTTTGAGTTAACAACACAAGCTGAATGGCCTGTTTGCAATCTCCACAGCAGGGGTAGAAAACCTCACCAAATCTGTCTGGATGGCCGTCAGATGTGGAACAGATGTGCTGAAATGGAGGAAATTATGTCACCTCTTTTTCCCCTCTCTCATGTGACCATGATGACTAAAGAGCCGTGATCAGGGTGATGTGATTACGCCGAGGGAGACTCGCACTGTGGTGACAGTTGTGCCGTGTCTGTTTTTCTTCAGTGGCTTCACGAGGCACATAGCAGCGGCGCCGTTCCTTTCATGCATCACAATGCCCTCTACAGGTGTATCTTGGTGACAGTATTTTTTATGACTATATCTCGGAACTGAATATGCGTGGCTCTTGTTTTGATTAGAAAATACTGCAATGATTTACATTGAAATCATACATCCTGAAAGAGAGCAAACCTTCAGTGCTTAGATAAAACCAGTTAAATATCAGTAAAAGCCACATGACTAAAGCGTAAACAACTTGTAAACACTGTTTCTGCTGAAAAGGAACAATAAAGTGGTCGCCCAGTCTGTGGCAGCATTAAAAATGTACACTGTCAAAGGTAAAGGAACAATTTTCTTACTTTACCTCAAATATTTATTCACTCGTGGCCCCTTGAAAGCTTCAACGCGGTTTGCTAGAAGGGTTAAAATAGTGTGTGTGTGTGTGTGTGTGTGTGTGTGTGTGTGTGTGTGTGTGTGTCATTTAGAC